GTGAGGAAAATAGTAGCCATTTTAGTACAATGACAGTATTGTCATTTTCTGTGTTTCTAATATTAATAGAAGACATCAGGTTGCCACTTACTCAACCCCCTCCTTTTTAATGCAGAAGTGGGAGTTTCTCTGTATGTCCTATCATGCCTTAAATCTTCCTGGAGGATCTGCAGGAACGGCTCCTTCTCCATTATTGTTCATTCATATTTTTCTGGTATAAATGGCATTCTGGTAACTCCTGGGAACCCTGTATTATGTTGGTCTGTCTAAGGATACAGGGCAAAAAGGACAATTTACTGGTCTGTTTCCACCCTTTTTACTTTCCTCTAGTTGTTGACTCTATTCCAGAGCCCTGGCTTGCTGCTTTTTACAATTTCTTTCCCAAACACCCCAGCTTAAGGAAATATATGTGAAAAATATTGTGCATAATAGATTATGGTTTTTGAGTTGTGCTGCAAATGGATTTTTTTTCTGCCCTTATCGTATTTGTGGTATATTTTGAAATAGGAGTCTTAGCAGATTGGCCTAAATAGAAATAACCATCATACTCTATGTATATATAGCTATACATAAATATATAGTTACACATAAAGATGAGCCTGAAAATTCTGTAATAAATGGCAGTGAGTTTGCCTAGGGAGTGCGCAATGTGCCTGCGAAGCATGCATGGGCGAAAGCATCCCTGGGCTTGCCACCATCGTGTGACTTGCTGCTAGATGTCACAGCATGCCCGGGGGTGCAGTTGGGGCCAGGAGCCTTGCGCAGAGCTCAGGGGCCCCATGCCCCCCACCCACCCAAGGACGGAGCTGTCCCCTTCCAGTGCCTCTCCTGGACTGGAGCAAATAGCATCTTTATGCCCGTTCTTCTCTTTTAGAGCAGTTTAGGGACAAGCTGAGATTTTGTATTAAAAGCAGTGAAGTCAGTGAGACCAATAATCAAGAGGGGAGAAGAGGTAATAAAAAAAAAAAAAAAGAAAGAAATAACCCAAATGCTAGGAAGCACTGCTGAAAGTCCTACTTTCTTACCTTGGACAATCCAGGAGATGCGTGAAAGGGTCTCTGCTCGGTCCCTGTGGCTGACATGAGCCGCAGCCAGGCACTGGTCCGCATGTATCGCACTGCTGCCAAATACTTGCAAGGTTAAGTTCAGACCAGCAGGGACCATTCTCTCCTAATGAAAAAATAAGCCGGTATCTTATGTTGTGCGTGGGAGGTCTCTGTGCACCATAGCCAGCTCTTTGGTGGGGGGGATTTCTCGCTTGGAGTTTTCACCTGCTGAGAAGCAGCATCGGGAGGAGAATGGGTCATTTCAATGTTATTCCTGTGTCGGCAGGGATTCGGTGGCCTTCCCCCAGCTCAGTGAATGGCAAGCTCTCATCAGCACCAGTTAATTTAGCAGGAACAAGCTATGTATTTTTCAAACTCGAGAGCAGACGTATTTTGTTGTCAGCTGCTCTGCGCAGTCCCTTTCTTACACCTGAGCCAAGCAGACGACAGAAATTGTACAGATATCTCAGCTGAACGCCATGTAAACCTTCTCACACGGCTATTTATAGACACATACAGGAAACGTCACCTGACCGTGCGTTTCCTCTCTCTTCTGAGCTGCATCTTTGATCAGTTTGACAATGCAGGAAATGTTAATTTTGCATCTGTTCTTCTATTGAACGTTGTACCAAACAGCAATGGAATATTTTAAAGTAGTAGGTTTGGGGCAGTTTGGTGATGGTATATGCAAATCATCTTTCAAAGTTTTCTAAAAATAAACACATTGTTAAAAGACCAGAAATAGATTGGTTGGATGCATTTGCTGAGTAAATAAGTGAATTACAGTGTTTAAAACCTCCTGTTGGAAGTGGTTTATAGACAGACCTAGACTTCTCAAGGCCACAACAGTACCGATACTCACGCAGCACCTCGGTGCAACATAGCTGTTGAGGTAATGATGTGATCGCTCTGCAAGCTTCATTTTCCATCAAAAAATGAACGTGTTTTTGAAAACTTGAAAATGAACAAGTGATGTATTCACCTCTTACCTGGGCTAGATAGTGGTCTTTTTTCCTCATGTTCAGTACCTCTCTTTCCAAGTAGTGTTGCTGATTTCAGCAGGGTGGTCTCAAGGCTGGGAGATGCTCAGCCCAGGAAAGGGTATCGCAGGACCAGGATGCTCCTTCTGCTTGCTCTTCCCTCTCCCCAGCTTCCTTGCATACCCTGGGACCGTCCCCCGGTGCCAGCGCATTGAGGGGGAGGTAGGGGCTGTGCCGCCGAGCACGGGGAAGGTGTCTGTGCATGCTGGGCTCCTGTGCCTCGGTGGATCCATGGGGAGAGAGGCGCATGCGTCTGCCCGGGGCAGGAGACCACGGCTGGCAGGACAGGAGAGGGCAACCAGGTCTTTGTAACGCCTTGAGCCTTGGACACCTTTGCTGACCCCTAAAAAGGAGTGATGTTATCAGCCACACTGGTTGCTTATGACGCCGTCTCCAAGCAGGACTGAATAAATTCCCTCGCTGAGGCCCAGAAGATCCCCTGGAATATGTCATTTTACATCACCATTGGGAAGTCCCAGGCTTCCTGCCGTGCTCTGCTCGGGGACTGGTAGGCTGCAGACCGGAGGCAGGCTGGCTGCCAGTACCCGCACACGTTGCTTGAGGCTCCCCAGCATCAGCCCTCTGGGCCGCGTGCGGCAGCAAAGCTGCTGCTGCTGCTGTCGGCCCCTGCACCGGCTCAGGCATTGCCGCCCCTCTTGGCTCTTGTCCGCATTGCGTTGCAGAGGTGCCCGTAATCTCTTCATGTTAGGATAGATTTGGGGACCTTCACAGATACCTCAGCACTTAATAGTCTAGTTGCCCTCGGAGTCCGGGGGCAGTTACCTAAGTTGGTATGCGCATACTAGTAGTAGATATGTCCAGACATTATCTCCCAGAAAGTGGGCACCAGCCCCGGCTTGGACACTTTGTGCCTTGGGAGGTGCCGTGCAAGCTACCTTGAAAGATGAGGAGCACGCTCTCAGGTTTACAGCAGTGAGCAGCCCCCATTAGACACCATTGTCAAAGAGGAAAAGGGCAAAGTGATGTTTTACTTTACATAAATTGCACTTTTTTCAAGTGTATGTGTTTCTTTAATCCTTTTCTTCTCCCCATACCCAGCAAAGTACACCATTCCTGTGCTATTTCTACGTGCTCTGTAGGCACGTGTCATGCCTCATGAAGAAGATGACTCTTAGGGTGAAAGTGTTGTCCAAAAGGATCCTTAAGTCAATAAAAGCATTCCTAAAAAGGCTGCTGTTTTCGAAAGCTGCCCAGAAAGAAAATTCATTTTGAACTTCAATGCCCCTCAATCGTAGCAGATTCAGCTCTTGAAGTCGCCACCCGTCTGGAGCCCACCCTGTCGTGGGACCCGCGATACATCGTCAGAGCAGTGTGGTGGAGGGCTGTGCATGTTCGAAGGCTTCCACTACTATTAACTCATTAAGCTACTAATTATAGAAGCTAGAGAGTCGTTTGAAGCAGCTGGAAGGAGAAATCTCGGATTTCCCTTGAACCACTTCCAAATTGATAGTATGTTGAACAAAGAACATGGAGAATTTTAAATTATGGCTTGTGACCTGAATGTCAGACATCATGCTGCAAATACACTGAGGATCTTGTTCTCCTTGCCACAGACAAGATGAATGGGGTATAGCTGATACCACTCGGTTCCATTAATTTTCACTACATGAATCTTTCTGACCAGAAACACATTATCATTTTGCTTTGTCTAGGATTGTTTTTTTTTTTTCATGGCACTAGCCCAGAATACATACAAGTCTTATTTAGTCACAGTTAGTGATAGTGTACTTAATAGTAGGAGTCTCCCAAAATACTCATTGTGCTACTTCAGGGAAGTAGCACAGACCACCCTACCTCAGACCACCCTATCATTCCTGACCACCTATAGTAACTACCACAGAAAAAGGCACTTGGAGTAGTCCAGGTTGCTCCTCAGGAGGAGGAGGAGCTTAGGGTTAGGTGCTGCCCTTTGGTGCTGGGAGGTCTGAGCCTAGTTGCGTCTTTGCAGAAGTTGTGCAGTGTCACGGGATTTCAGAATAACATCGCTTCCATTTTTCATTGGGGGTAGAAAGATGGATGCTCAGGATACGTAGAGAAAGGAGAAAAGATGGGATAAGAAACCAATCAGAAAGAAAAGCAATGGCAACAGCAGCTTCTCTGGACTCCCCTGCCAGCACTTGTTGAGTTCCAGCAAGGTTCTCTCCGAGGAGAAGACGTTAGAGCGTTTTCTGTGGCCTGTTTATCGGCCGTGCTCACAGGATGGCCGGTGGTATGTATGGTCCTGTTCCCTGGAAGCAGTACCACCAATCTGTTAAACAAATGAAACGTAGAGGGCAGCCCTCATGCGCTGGAGACAGGGTAAGGCCAGGCTGACTTCACACGCTCACCGGGGCACGGGGCTTGGGGCTCGGTGCGGGGGTACCTGAGCGGCGGCCGGGCATCGTCGGCAGTCCCACGCGCCGCAGCCGCAGCCTGCCTCCCGCTCATGGGTGTGCAGTTACCAGCAGGTGGAAAGCATCCTGCCCAAACACGAAACTACTGCCAGAATGAAAAGGAAGTCGTACTCTGGGAGGAGAGAGACGCGGCGTGGGAGGGTGACGTTTGCCAGCAGAATTACCTCTTTGGGATGCTGCTAGGACTTGGAACGAGAAACTTTGCAAAAAAAAAAAAAATCTAATTTTCTGCAGTTATCACCAATCTGAAATTGATTCTATAGCATGAGCAAACTTCTGCAAGGCGCTCACACTAGTGTATTTAATATATACTAGTGTATATGTTAAATGTGATTTTCAGAGACATTAGGGCTTCTTAAGGAAAGTACAGGTAACAAGCTGGCTGGGAGGGAGCTAGTGTAAGCGCTCTGCAGGAGGAATGTGTAACATAGGGCCATGCAGTTCCCTAAGTTTCCTTCACAGATGCTATTTTCACTTGTGTGCTGTTGTGTCGACCTCGGATGTGTCGGCACTCAGTTTACACCAGTGAAAGAGCTGAATCTGGAGCCTGGCGAGGAAAACTCACCCAGTACCGCACACGGCGCTACAGAGATGCGCATGGTTAGCATCGCTCCCATGGCAGCTGCGGCGAAGGAGAGGGGGTGAAGAGTAAACCTGGCGCAAGGAGTTGCAGCTTGGGTAACTCACTTTTACAGTGTGAGCAGTCATTCACACAGCCAAAATTGTTTTGAATGAGGCTTTCACATTGCTTTGCTCCTTTCATTTTAGGTGTGTCTTTCCTAAGGCTCTGTGTTAATACCCCTTGAAGTCAGGGGCGTTAGCTACTCCACCTCTTGAAGCCAGAATCTGGCTTTTGCCCATTTATCCCGTTCCCACATTGGCTAGATTCATAAGGAGACTCGTGCTGGTTTCCCTGCTGCTGAGCTCAATGCCCGTGAAGCTGTGACCTGGTGGTGCCAGCAGAGTCTACATTTATTAACTTCAAGGAAGCTGCCTTTTCAGATTGCTTCTAGGCTGCACCTTCACAATTTCCCAACATTTTAACATTTCAATACGATATGCTAGCGAGTTTGCCTAGCTTAAATCACCTGGAGCACGGTGTCTGTTGAAAACCTGCTGGTACCCGAGCTGCAGAGCAGCATCACTGAGCGTCTCCCTTCTGGCAACTTATGCGTTCTCGTATTTCCCTTTAGCCTGACGGGGGGGAGGGGGCGTGTGTGATGCCTGTAAAACTAACAGAGTTTCTGAGCCTGCTGGATCCATCATCTTCAAGGCTAGGTCAACCCACTGATGGGTAAAGCTTGTCCATCTGAGGTAAAGGGAAGGTCCTCTCCGTGGCTTATCTCCAGAGCGACTGGAGTTATGGTTCCCTTTCCACTGGCCATAACCTTCCAGCCAAAGAAGGTCATGGTGTCTGGGAGCCAGTAGGCCTCCAAGTGAAAACAACCCATCAGAAAGATTTTGTGTCCTGTGAAAGTGCCCAGAAGAGAAGCTGCCTAATATTTTCCAGAAATAAATATCTGGCCTCACATCAAACCAACTGCATTGACGGGCACTTCTCCATTAATTTCAGTGGTTGTGGAGTGATTCGTCCGTGACTCCAGAGCCCAGACCTACTTACCCCCCTCAGAAATCTGTCAACTGGCTCAGATACTGCAGTTTGGACATGAGGAAACTGGAGTTATGGGGACATGCAATGAATAAATAGGAAGGAGTTTGACTGAAATTCTGGGTCATATTTAATGGGCTGCTGAACATTTTGACATGAGCTATGCATAATCTTTAGAGCACACAGAGCACAGCCCATTTGCAATCATAAGGTATCATCTCCACTGCTCAGTTTCTCCTGGAGTCACTGCAGCAGTTGGCACACGAGCAACATCCTGGTGTCAGCAGACAATAACACACCATGTTCAGGGAAGAGAGGTCAGGTCTCTTCTAAAACACTGAATGTTTTAGTGGAAAAATGACTGAAAGAACCACTCAAATTAGGAAACAGGAAACACTGCAGTACCACAGATGTGATTTTGACAGTTGAAAATTGGAGCTAAGATGTTGTCAAGGAGGTCTGCTAAGCATGCTGCTAGGGCAGCAGGTCGTGCTACTTCTGAGCCGCCAAGGGGGAATGTTCTCACTTCCAGGCACAGGAATGTTCTTATTAAGTAGTTGTTGTTAGTATTTGTGCCAGCATGCACGTATGAGCCAAGGCACTGGGTGTCTTTCGTCTCAGGTTCTCCAAACTCAGTGCAAAAATTCAGTAAGCTGTGTCCTTCAAGTGGGGAATTTTTAGTATTTCCCAGTAGTGGCTAGTGAAAACTATCACAATAAAATCTGAAGTTTTATGCAGTAATAAATTAGCAGCAGACTTTCAAGTGCTGGGTTACCTGTGTGGTGAAATTAGCTGTTCACGTGTAATATCAGCCCCGCTCGTGACTCCTTCTCACTTTCAGCAAACCACGGAACCTCTTAAGCTCCTTTTTAGCCATATATCAACTTCATGTAATGCTACTTTTAAGTAAGTCTGTTCAATTGCTCAATTACTCCCGCATCCAAGTGTACGTAATAGGCCCTTAGGGCTATGATTCAGTCTTGCCCACTGATTTGCTGCCTGACCTTGGGCACAGCATTAAATGCACCTTTAGTATGCAAAGGAATTGTGCACATTCATGCTTGCGGTCATGTTGTTCAAACTCCTACTCTGTATCCCAACTTTGCAGACTTTCCAAGCAGAGTCTACTTGCTTTTTACTGCTAAATTTGCAGACTGCGCCTAACTTTTTCTAAAATGCAAACGGGATTTGGGAGCCCAAATTCCTTTCAAAACCCACCACAAGCAAGCTTCAATGGGGCTTTGAAAGTCTAAGAAATTTAGACAGTTCTGAAAATGTCACCCTAGCTGTATCTCCACGTTTTGACATTACATGACCATCTGAATTACTAAGGCAACTTCCCTTTGCTGAGCCAACCTGATTGCTGAGGAGCTTGCAAAGCATTAAGTATGCACATATTTAATGTCTGCTAATACTAGTGGGGGAGAATGCCTCAAAGTGAAAACTATTCTGCATTTAAATGTGTTCTCTCAAAACTTAGACAGGTCATCTCAAAACCCGTCTGGATGTGATCCTGGGCAATATGCTCTAGGTGACCCTGCTTGAGCAGGGAGGTTGGGCTAGATGATCTCCAGAGGTCCCTTCCAACCTAAACGATTCTGTGATTCTGTGATCTCTAGCCCAGGCAGAATAATAACAACTTCCCCTGTGCTCCTGGGAAGACATTTTGGAGGTACTGTAAGTTGCTGCTTGCTTTCTTTTTCTAGACAACTATACGTTCAGTGCATGGGAGAGATGAGATATTGAGCTTAGGAGGGATATCTGTTTGAAGAAAGGTCTCCCAGAGGAGAGCACAGCCAAGGGTGACGCTTAGATTGAGTTCGCTGTAGCACTAGACTGGCCCCTGGTTGTGATGATGCAGGATTTTTGAGAATGATTTTTCTTGTGCATCGTTGTATAATGAGCAACTGTGTTTTCCTTTCATATTTCTTCTTTTGTTCTTTACTTTGTTTGAAGAGCACTATGGAATAACAAAGATAAGATGCAAACCTGTATTCTGCATATTTTAGGAACTTGCCTCTTAGTTTTTTTGTGTAAACGTTGTTTGAAAGTAATCAAGGCTTGGAAAACCAGCCAGTATAGGTTTGACCCTGGGGCTGTTAAAATCTATGGGCTGGGGGACAAGAGGTTGGAAGTGGGCTCCCAGTGGCAACGGTGGCAGGATTTCGTTCCCATGCAGTGTTCCTCTCTGTACTTGTATTATAAAGGATTTAAAATGCAGAATCGCTGTGCTACTATTAACGTGCTAGTGTTGCGAGCAGATAGTGGCTGCACACCTGTAAATAGCAGCTCTGCCATGTAAGTTAGTTAGTTTCTTAAATTGGTAAAGTGCTTCATGTTCCTTGTCAGTGAGCCAACATCACAATAAATGCAATGTTTCTACAAATAATCCAGCTTCTACATAGCAAATCCTCAAACCACTGAAAGAATGATGTGGCTTCAGCGTAGACAAGGGTAGTGATAGAACTGAACGGTTCCAAAAAATAAACGCTTTCAGACCTCAGCTGTTTTATGATTATTTTCCTTTTAATTTGCTTCCTTTTCATTGCTTTTTTTTTTTTATATTGAGACATAAATATTAGATTCCAGATTACCCATGGGTCTGAAATAGAGCTGTAGCAAGGACTCCTGCCAACTTTTACAAAAGGATTTTGCTAACGTGAAAGAAAAATAGCTCATACATAATAAACACTCCTCCTGACCCATGTCATCCTTTTGCATTCGAGGTCAAACATCTCTGGAGGGGAAATAAAGATAAATGGGATGCAGAGAGTCTGCTGCAACAACAAACCAAACCTCTGCATGAAGGTCTTCCCATTAGGGTTTTGGGTTTGACTCTTCACAGCTGCCACTACATCGTTTCCCCAGCCTGAACACTGTAAGTAGTCGCCTGGGTAGCGCGCTCCTCTGCACGGGCGCCTAGGTAGGTTAGAGCTCGCACCCTGCCTTGAACATACACACGTTTTACCCCTGGGGATTTCTGCAGGACAGCACATGGTATAAAATTAAGCATGAGTGTAAAGCTCTGCAGGATTTCTGCCTAGCTCTGCAAATTCGACTTCAGCCGACCTCAGAGCTGTTCCTCTGGGTTTTCGCCTGCACAACAGCAGCAGAATTTGGGTTAGTGCATCGTGCTGTACCCATGGTGGAGATTATAGCCAAGAGCAGCTGCTTGGTAATAAACTAACTGATCACTTTGAAATTCTTCCAGTATGTTTCTCTCTCCTGCCAGAGAAAATACCTACAGGTTTCATAATCCGTTTATTCTGCTGTTGAACCAATCATGCAGCTAGGGTGGCTGAAGTAGATATGCTTTGCAGATAATGAGTTGAATATTTATCTCCTCCATATATTAACTCCTTTCCTCAAGCCAATGCCCTCATGATTCAAGCAAGACTAGTGAATATTTAAGACATGGTGGAAGCATGCTGGAGAAGAGGTTTTATCACGCAGTTGCTGATTTCAAATTCTCCTGATGGTTATAGGAAGACGTTAAAAACGCACTTAAAACAGGACCGGTTGGCTCAGCAGATTGGTGGCAGGACAGAGATACACGCTCAGCCTTAAGGTTTGCGCTCATTTCTTGCACAAGTCAGATTCAAAATTACTTTTTTTGTTGTTCTTCTTGCTATATGTTTTGCAGGTTAATCTGAAGAGAATTGAAATATCTACTGACTTTGTACTAAACTCGTGGTGTAACTGTAAACAGCAGCCATTAAAACCAGCTCTCCTAGTCTAATGCTACTGCTGGATAAAAGTGACTTGAAACAAAGCTGAGAACCCCAAGCAGTGTTGCTATTGCCATATTCTTGGCACAGCTGCCATGCAAGGAAGGTAGGGAAGTAGCTGGCTGGGTCAACAGGGTCTTTTGCAGGACAGGGCACAGTGAAGTCTATCTTTCTGTAAACCATGACATGAAGCTGGTCTGAGAGAGTTTGGTCTTCTGGCCACCTACCAGGCTTTTCCTCAGGCACCCTCAAGAGAAAACATC